GCAGATGGGGTGAAAACAGATGATAGAGCTAAAGTGTTGCTGGGCAGGGTGGGAGTGTAAATATACCAGCGAACACTTGAAGGACAGTCCTGCCTCAAACGCCGCTCCCGAGAGAAGGTCAAGCAACCGGTTGGGAGGAACAAGGGCGGGGGAAGCATCAGAAACACTAAAGGGCCAAAGAAAGGCCTGTCCCTGACTGAAGCACAACTTCACGCTTTACCCCTCCCGTGGGATACAAAAGAGGTGGTACGAAGCCCCCAGACTCACGACTCTCCATGACTATAAATGGTAAGGGGTGGGACCAAGGCGGGCACTACAGGTATAATTATGCCTGCTAAGGAGGGGGGAACTGGGATCCTGGGAATAAGGCTCAGCGTCCTCGTCAGAGCTATGCGTATGCTTGCTTGAAACAAATGCCAATAAACATCGCATTGCCTGCACTTCGGACTTCTGGTCTTCTGCTTCCTGTCTGCGTGACAAAAACCAGGGGAAGGGAAAAACCCCTAAACACACCCATCCATCCATCCCCATACACACCCCTCTATCTATAGTACTTATATGCCCCCCCACACTTTACTGTGCCTCTCAGCCTTTGATGCAAATCCTGAGATTGAGCCGTCGGACGCTTAGGGTGATGTGGCGGGGCAACGACTCACTGGCGCGGCGCCTCCTGCTGGTCATCCAGGGCATTAGCTCTTTCCAGCCTGGAGCGCCCTCTACAGGCCGGTTGATGTCTTGCCTGCCGCTGGCCCCTTGTCCCGCCTGGACCCCGGTGCCCTTTGCCCAGGGGTTCTGCCCACCGCGGTACCCTCTGTCTGGGTCTCCCCTCCCAGGGGAACCCCCATCCCCTATCCCCACCTATATCTGGGCTGCCCCTCTGCAGCCCTAGTACCCTTTTGTGGGCCCTTAGCTTGGCCTGCAGCCTGGGGCTTAGCTAGCCTGGAGCTCCCCAGCTCCCTCTGCCCTTCCCCAGCACTGCACCGCCCTAGGTCCCCTCCTCGGCTTCCCAGCAGCCAGGTCCTTCTCTCTCACAAAGCTAGAGAGAGAATCTCTTTTCCAGTCTCTGGCCCTCGGCCCTCTTATAGGGCCAGCCGCAGTCTGATTGGGGCGTGGCCCCACCTGTGGCTGCTTCCCCAATCAGCCTTTTCCCAGCTGCAGCCCTCTCCAGGCTGTTTTAACCCCTCTGGGCAGGAGTGGGGTGACCACCCCACTACAGGTGACCAGACAGCAAGTGTGAAAAATTGGGACAGGGCGGTAATAGGAGCCTATATAAGAAAAAGACCCCAAAATTGGAACTGTCCCTATAAAATCAGGACATCTGGTCACCCTATGGGATGCTTCCATGCAAGGACCAGGGTGGCGAAGAATCCAGAGTGACGTCCCATCTCCCCGCGCGGGCCTCTGGGGCTGGCCCCAAAGCAGAGGGCAGAAGCATCCGTCTGATTAGTCACACAGTTTATTGGCTTAGTTCGGGTGTATTACAAACAACGGGGGCTGTAACTTCAAACGGCTCGTCACAATTAAAAAGCACAGGAGCACGGGAAGTGCACTTCAGCCGAGTCACGCAGCGGGGGGCGGGGAGGAAGGGGGGGGCGGTGGGTGTGGACTCACAGAGGGACCGCCCTGTACACACACCGGCTGGGAAGGGGCCAGGCAGATGTGGGGGAAAGGGGCTAAAGGAGGGGGCTGCACACCAGTCTCCCGTTCAGAATGTGCTGGGCGCCTGCTTTCTCCCCCTCAAGCCACCCCCACCCTGGTCCAGCTGAGGAATCAAGGGCCCGATCTGGAGTCCATTAACAGCAGCAGCAGAAAGCCCACCAGGAGCAGACTCGGGTCCTATGTAACTAGGCTGGTGCCTGGTTTAAGACTGACTTGGGTCCAGAGCTAAACTGGAACCTGGGTGAGGTCTGCCCCGTAGCGTAACTCCCCATCTGCCCCATGTGTGGACTGGGGGGGCGGGACTGCCCCCAGAACAGCAAGAGCTCCCAGGGCCGGACTAAGGGCAGATCCGTGGAGCCCTAGGAGACAGATCCCCGCCCAGTAGGTGGCATGAAGCTGGCTGATTCTCGACAGCCACCTGCCGTGGAGGAGAGGACGCAGCCTGGCCCCACCCCAGGTTGGGACGGGACCAAGGAAGGGGCTACAGGAGGACAACGTGCACCTGGCAAGGGCAGCCGGGCAGGCAACGTCCCTCTTTGTACAGCTGGGTCACTCTCACACCGCCCTGCCACACCCCTCTTCACCCCCCACCCCCTGAGAATAGACATGATTACAGGGTCCTTAACGTTATTCTTCGGCAAAGATCTCAGCCATGGGGGCTAAGACCATTGGTTAAATGAAATAATTGAGGGGTGGTGGAATCGGCTTCAGGCGAAGCTTTGCCAGTGTCCATCCTGGATTGCACCAAACCCAATGCTGGGAAGCCGGGTGCCTCTTCCAGGGGTCACACAGGGAAGCTCGTCTATACCCCAATCCCAGGGGAGAAGCATCTGTGATACTGCTGCGTTTGAAGGCCAAGGGTCGGAGGCTGAGCACGGAGAGGAAAGCGTCGGCCTCCGTCTGCCCCTGGAGAAATGATTGTCACGGACCGAAGAGAACTGGCCAGCCTAGTGGAAAAATAGCAAGTGACTAACTGGGATCTGCTTCTCTGGACCCGGCCCTCCTCCTGCTACGAGAATCTTTGAACGGGAACGTGAGAAGCCTGGAAATGGAATCGGGTGCAAACAGGCGACGGATCCCTTATCCAGCAAAGAACACACGCAGTTACACACGGGCGTTAGTGCTTGGCTGGGTCGGCGCCTAGAAGAGGCAACAACAATTTGATTGTAAAATGTATTCCCTGTTGTAACATTTATTCGCTGTTGATCGAGGCTTCAGGTCGTGATGTCTCCCTGTGTGTGTGTGTGTGTGTGTGTGCATGTGAGCACATACTTTTTAACCCCTTGGTTTCTATTTGGGGGCCAGCTTCACTTCCCTCTCAAAGTCAGTGGAGCTAGGAGGAAGAATGGGCATGGCCCCGGGTGGGTATTTTTCCATGGGCACGGCCCCGGGTGGGTATATTTTCATGGGCACGCAGGCTGCTACGTGTGTTGTGCTCCATGACCTTCGCCAGGACCCCGAGTCCTCTCCGGCCGACTGACCGAACAAGGGCTAACGCCAGGGATGAGAACCGCCGACACGTAGTGGAAGGGTGCGAAAACCACAGCTGGGTGCAGCATGGAGTAGCCGTGGGGCGACACCGAGCACGGGAACCTTTCAAGCTGCGCGGCAGGGGAAACGCTCTAACAGCGAAGGCTACACAAATCGGGGGGGAGGGAGGAGGGGGGAGACCATTGTGTGCAGTCAGGGGCCTGATCTTTGGTTAATCCTTGAGACATCACATTAGGGTGAAATTTACCCCTCCGCAGAGGGACAGCAAGTAGCCTCGGCACCTGCCGAGTTCAGTTAAGCCTACAGGGCACGTGTGGTTAATCTTGCCCAGTGGTAATTTTCACATAACAGAGAAGCCAGGATGACGTCCCCCTTCAGGACCTGCATGCCTGGGCAGAAGATGCTCTTGCTACCTGGGTGAGATCAGCCTCTAAGGATGATGTGAGAGAACAGGGTGAAAACCAAGGGAGCACAGAGCCACCTCCCCACACTTTTATCACCTACCCATTAACTGACCAACCTGGTGTAAAGATGGCGGAGCTGGCACTGATGCACCACACACGTGGCATAAACTGGTGTAACACCATTGGCTTCCCATTTACATCAGGTGAGAATCTGGCCCCATAGCGTCTAGAGCTGGGCGAACATTTTCAACAAATAAAAAGCATTCCTCAACTCCCAGGGCCAGGCCCTCCGAAGGCGTAAATCCACTGGAGTCAATGGAACTGGGCTAACTTACTCAAGATGGGGATCTGGCCCCAACTTGACCTTGAGGGCGTTTGGCGTGATTTCCGTGAACACGCCCAAAAGCTTTGGTGTTTGTCTGTCTGCAAGAACGTTCCTGGGACGCTCACGCGCGTACAAACATGTGCTCCGTGCAGGAAGCGTTCCCAGGGGCACCTCCTCAAATCCCTTCCCTCGTCCCCGCTCGTAACGAATTTCAACACTCCAGCTGGAGAGCAGAGGCGATACCAAAGACTCCGGCCCGCAACCCGACGCCCTGCTTAATGCCAAGTTCCCGGAGCGTTTTCACTGAGCGTTCGTCGAACCGTTTCCAGTAACGAGCCAATCTGTAAGAATGTCTATCTGGGGCGTGGGGAAAAAGGTCTAAAGTCGTATCGATAAATGAGTCACTGCAGATGAATGACCCAGCCCCAATGCATCCCTGACTCTGTCGTCCTGAACCAAACACTAATTGAGCGCTAGCTTTTCCTTGCACAAGCTCCAATCTCTAGTCCTACCACTAACCCTACGGCTCGTCCTATTTCACGGCACAGGAGACCCGAGACCCACACCCAGGAGCGTTGTCTGTCTAGCCGGGAAGTCTTACCTCTAGCACCGAGCCTGCATTCTAATGGCGCTCCCGGGTCATGGCCCATTGCTTGATTTGTTCTGCTGGATGGGGTTTGTCCTGTACTCCCATTGCCTCCCCTAGGGAACCCAGTAAAGGACCGCCCACTCCGAGGAGGGCCCAAAGGCAGCGAGCCACCAAGCTGCCTTTGGGGGACTTGCGGCATCCTGGCAAATCTGTCTGTTGCGGAGCAGAACTGCCACCCGGGTCATGCTCTGCTACAGAGCCTGCAGCGGATCCTCGGCTGGTGTCGGTGAGCTGGCGTCGCTCCGCTGAAGTCGATGGCGCTCTGGCAGTTACACCAGCCGGGGTCTGGCCTGCAATTCATCGGGCGTGATCAGGGGCGCGAGGGGCTGACCTCGCCACGCCCACAGCGCTACGCTGCAGGGAGAGTGGGTGCAAGGAAAGCGATTAGGGATCAGGGAGGCCTCTGTTCTGAAGAGCTCCCTCGCGAGGTGTTCCCGAGAACGGACGTCAGCCCGGAGAAGAACCAGATGCTCCCTGGAGGGGGCTGGGGCCCAGTGGCCAGTTACAGACTCGAACCAGGAGCAACAAAAGAACTAACGCTGATCACAGCATCACCACTCACTTCACTGCTTTAAAAGCCAGGTGCCCTCCTTCAGCATAACACAGTTCAAGAATAAAGATATTCTGAGGCCGGAAACTTCTGTGAGTGACCCCCAGAGGAGTCCCCACGCTCTGGGGCAGACCCACAACAGTCAGCGGGTAGCTGAGAGTAGAATCCAGCCCCATCGCTTTACTTGGGGGAGGGGGGAATTCTGCTTTCAGGTACAGCTGGTGCAACCCCATTAGTGTCACCAGGCCTGCCTAGGTTTCAAGGAGGGCAGAACTGGGGCCTGGGTTTAGGGGTGTCTCCAAGCAATTGAGGCAGCTGCCAAACTCTGCCCCCCTTCAAAGCCATTTGTCGGGTCCCTTGCTGGGCTCCTTGGCCACAAAGTGAAAACCGTTTTGCTTTGCCAGGGCCAAATGTGCTGAATAAACACCTGGCTCGAGGGGACCCATCAATGCCACCAGGTGGCGCCAAAGGCAAATCATAATGTCCCCACCCATGCAGCAATGGGGCATCTGGCAGGGCACGCTCGAGTGAGGACATGCCAAGGGATTGGAGGGCTCAGACTTTGTCCAGACAAGCATGTTGCGTGCGAGGGCTGCCCTGGACCGGGAAGGCGACAGCATTGATGCTATGGGGCTGCCGGTGCTGAGTGGGTGGAGGTGCTGACAGGGGACGAGGGCCCTACCTGTGGCTAACCAGGGCTCCACAATTTAATGACCACGAACATGTTCAGAACAACACTCCAGAACTCCCGACGAGCAGTCCCTTCTCCCGCTGGCCGAGACTTGGGCCAACCTCTTCCAATTTCACCCACCGTCCAGGGCTGGGAGCATCTCGGTCAACAGCTCAGTGGCTGATATCCTTACCGGCACGGCGTCTACAAGGGAAAAGTTCATGCAAGGGGAGACACAGTCAATGTCCTTCCAACCACCTCGCTCCCTCACGGCCTTGTCATTCCAACAGAGAAAAGCCAGCTAAGAAATGAAGGAGCCGCTCTTCTGTAGAAAACAGCAGAGGACATGACATCACAGGGGTGTGGGTGCTGATAGGCCCCAGTTCCGGCATTCAAACCAGCGGGGTCAATAAAGTACCTTAAGGCTTGTGGTCACCACTGTGAGTGCCGGACATAGAAGTTCCTTCAGAGAAGGAGTGACTCCAGAATGACTGATTCTGCTGCCTGGAAATCCAGCAGGGATCTGTTTATTTTTTACACCGCTGCATTTTTCTGGAGCTGCGCGTTGCCCCTGGCACCACAGGAACGATCAACTTTAGGTGTTGAAACAACAGGTCCATCTCACAGCCCACCCCCACGGACCTTGGCCAAGCTGTGTTGGAACGTCACACACGGACTCCGGGGAGTGTCCTTTTCCTTTTGCGGCAGAAACAGTCCCTCTTGTGACTGGTTTGAAGGCTCGGGTCAGTGCTTAAAAACTCTAAGCAGCAAGGTCAGGCCAAATTTAAGTTCGGCCCAGCAGCTCACGTGCCGGCCGAAACCTCTGCTTCAAACTTCTTGTGGAGCTGTGGTTTGGGGCGCTGTGTCTGTGACTTGTCGGGTTTCCCCAGACCTGTCGTCGGAACAAACCCGGGGTGAGGGGGATAGTTCAGCTGCCGCTGGACAGGCGGGCTCTGTCGGCTGGGCTGTGGCCTTATCAAGATGATACAGGTGTTTCTAAACCGTGGCCCGTTGACGCCAGGGCGTGTGGAGAAAGTGCTGGGACGTAGGTGGCCTCCCTCCTTCCCCTTCCAGAAGGCCGGAAAGAAAGTCCTAACAACAGTCAGTTCTTGAAGAACCATCTAAGGAGGCGTCTTAGTCCTATGACCCTCTCCTGAGCCCCCCCCATCAGTGAGATCAGCTCCAGCATCCTTCGGATAACAGAGGAGGGTGTCATTTAACGAGGGGGAAAGCCATCAGTACAATTAAAAAAACGGGAGTCCTACAGGCGGGAGAGTTCCTTGATGGCCATCCCCGGTGGGCTGAGGAGCTCTGAGAAACCCCACCATGGCACAGGGGAGCAGGGGGAGAGACAAAGGCAGGGGGAAAAAAATAAGCGTGTATAATAAATATAATATTCAGCGCCGGTGGCGTATTGCATGGAAGCGGACGTCAGACGAGCGATGCCGCGGCCGGGAGATGGTGCTGCCTATTATACACTTTACAAACACTGCATTTGTTTCCCCAGTCTCTTAAGAAAAAGAAGTTGTGTCTGGTAAGTAAATAAAATACTGTGTCACTTGGAGTTTGTGGAACCTAGCGAACTATGAGGGACAGGGTAACAGAAGATGGGGGGCAGTCCTTTTTGGCTGTACAATGAGGGGAGGTCAAAAGGAGCCGGCCGACGTTTCACATCACCGTGCAGCATTTGCAACGGTGTTTCTTCATGTCTAGGTCCTGATCGGCCCCCTTGGGATCCGTGTCATTGGCCCCTGGCTTCTCCCCGACCTGGCTGTCTTCCTTCTGTGGCAGGGTGGCCACGGGCTCCACAGTGCTGCCGTTGGGTGGGGCGTGGTCCTTGCCCATGCAGTCTGCCGCTCCAGCCGCTGCTGGCTTGTTGTCAGCATCTTCGATCACCACCAGCTCGGCCTTGATGGTGCCCCCCAGGCCCAGCACTTTTTTGGTCTCGTTCTCGTCCTCCACGTTCTGGTAGCCCATGAAGATCATGGTGACCGGTTGATCTTTGCTAGGCTCTGCCCCTTCACCAGAGGCCAGGATTCTTGGGCTGTCCACTGGCTTGGCTTGCACCCCAGTGATCTCCTTCCGGGGCGTGGTGTTCTGGCTGGGCAGGTTGCTCCCGGGACCCCCCTTCTTGGCCTCTTCGCGCTCCTTGGCCTTGGAGTCCCTCCGGCAGGCCTCACTCAGGTTCGCCTCATCTGCCTTGTGGATCAGATCATCCACCTCAGAGGAGCTGAGAGGGTGCACCCCGTTCTCAATGGCGCCATCCTCCATGTGGACCGCGTGCACCACTGCGGGAGAGACAGAGAAGACAGTGAGGGCTCAGAGAAAGGCCAAGGGGGCGTGTGCCAGGCTGGTCTAGAGATGAGAGGTGGTGCCTGGATCTGGGGTAGGCAGAACCAAGCCAGGGCTGGGGGCTTAGGTTTCAGACGGCAGGAATCTATGGAGCTAATCTCACATTATCGCCCCCATCTGGAGCTGGACGCCTCTTGGTTTAGGATCTGACCCACACCCAGAACTCCCCTTCTGGATCAGGCAGCCCTTTTGAGCCCTTCACAGAGGCAGACACGCCCCACACTCCGCTGTTTGCTGCACCCTCGACCCAGTCACCAGAAACAGTGGTTGTCATTCGGTGACACTCCCAGATCAGCACTTGCTACTGTCCAGGGAATTATTCCAGCAAACCCCCATCTACAGTCAGGTGACGAGAACCAATGGCTTCTAAAGCAGTGCTTGGGACGGATCCCACTGGGCACCCACAAAGGAAAAAACCCTTTAAACAGGAAACCACCAGTCCTAGAATTGGTCAGCTAGGATACATCCACAGGCATAATCTAGACCAGGGGTCTCAAACTCAAATGACCACGAGGGCCACATGAGGACTAGTACATTGGCCCGAGGGCCGCATTACTGACACCTCCCCCCCGCTGTCCTCGGCCCCGCCCCCACTCCACCCCTTCCATGAGGCCCCGCCCCCATTCCAACCCCTTCCCCGAAATCCCCACCCCAACTCTGCCTTCTTCCTGTTCCCAGGGTGCAGGAGGGGTGTGGGGTGTGGCAGGGGCTCAGGGCAGAGGGTTCGGCTGCAGGAGAGGTTCGGGGGGCGGGCTCCAGCCCGACGTGCACCGGGGGCAGGGCAGGCTCCCTGCCTGCCTGTCCCCACGCCGCTCTAGGAAGTGGCCAGAACTTGGGGGAGGAGGGGCACAGGGGTCTGTGTGTTGCTGTTGCTTCAGGCACCACCCCCAGCAGCTCCCATTGGCCGGGAATGGGGAACCGCGGCCAATGGGAGCTGCTGGGGGCGCTGCCTGAAGCAAGAGCAACACACAGAGTCCTGTGCCCCCCTTTCCCACGTTCCGGCCGCTTCCCGGAGCGGCGCGGGGGCAGGGCAGGCAGGGAGCCTGCCCTGCCCCGGTGCACGTCGGGCTGGAGCCGCTCTAGGTAAACGCTGGGGGGGGGGCGGGGGGCCACAAGGAGCTTGCGGGCTGCAGAAAACAACCCCGCGGGCCGCGTGTTTGAGACCCCTGATCTAGATCATCCTCAGTACAGGGATGACAACCTGGGACATCTGTAAGAAAGAATCCCCACCCCTGAGATTAGTATACACAGCCACTAGGTGGCGCTACTGCTCCATACTAAGGCATTTGGGTTTGATTCCCCCCTGGTGGTGATGGCCTGTTATCCCCAGGGAAGGTGGCTCTGCTGTTTATGATGTGGCTAGCTTGGTGCACCTTTTCCCAGGAGCCAAGGGGGCGTGCTGCTTAGCCGACTGCTGCCCTGAATAATGCAAGGCAGCAAAATAGTGCAACCCACACACAGCTCCTGGGACGGGCCAGGAGAGAAACCCAAAGCACTTGATCAGAGCAAAAATAGCAGTCCACATACCAGGGGAGCCCCAAGCTCAGAGCTCCTGTCGGCATCCCGTGGAGATGCTGTTACCAACCTATCTAAGCAGAACACACGTCCAAGCCCAGTGTGTGGAGTAGGTGTGGGCCAGTGTCGGTTACCAATGGAACAGGGAAGGTCGCAGCACATCCTCGATAAGAGCCATTCATGGGGACTGATGTTCGCTGAAAATGGGGCTGTGTTTGCCCATCGTTTGTAAACTGATTCCCCAACATCTGCTGAACGCTACAAGGGGCAAAGTGACTTTTAAAGGTGCCTTCGCTTGTGTCAGCCCCAATGCCTCCCTGCACCCGCAAGATCAAAGCTGCACTTGACCGAAAGAGTCTGAATGTCCCTCCCATCACACCTCAGCTGCCTTGCCCAGCAATCCACGCGGCTTCTGCCACTCTGGGGCATTTGTCCCAGCAGCCTTGGCAAATTGCTGCATTGGGAAGGGGCGAGGGGAAGGTTGCAGCAAATCACTAAGGAGTTCCGATAGCGCACCACCCTCTTGCTATCCGCTCACAATCCCAGGAAGCGGCTGTCAGCTGATGCGGTGACCCAACACAAAAGGCAAAAGATAGCTGCAGTCATGGAGGCTCTCAACGAGAAAGCAAGGTAACACAGGAAGTCAGGTCTTATTAGCCCCCATTTTACACACTAGGGAAACTGAGGCACAGGGCAGGGAAAGCAACTTGCCCGAGGTCGCACAAATTAAGTAGCAGAGCCAGGGCCTGAACTGGACCCAGAGTCCAGCATCCAAGCCACGGCACCACACAGCTTCGACCTAAACAATGTTACCTCCCACACACGCCGATGCATCAACTCGAGACTATGTCATGCATCCTATGAATCTTTCCTCCATTTCCTGGGGCCACCCTGGGACATGAAAGCGCTTATCTAACATCCTCCAACGAGAGAGAGAGAGAGAATCAGAGCAATGCAGGACTGGAAGGGACCTCCAGAGGTCATTAAGACCAGCCCTCTGTGCTGAGGCAGGACCAATTACAGCTAGACCATCCCTGACCGGGGTTCCGTCAACCTGTTCTTAAAAACCTCCCATGATGGGGATTTCCCAGCCTCCCTTGGAAGCCTGTTCCAGAGCTTAACTCCGCTTATAATTAGAAAGTTTTTCCTAATATCGAACCTAAATCTCCCATGCTGAAGATTTCTTTCTTGTCCTATCTTCAGTGGACATGGAGAAGAACTGATCACCAGCCTCTGTATACCAGCCCTTTACATATTTGAAGATTGTTATCAGATCTTCTCTCTCTCTCGTCTTTTCTCAAGACTAAAGGTGCCCAGTTTCGTGAACCTTTCCCCATAGGGAGGTTTTCTGAACCTTTCATCATTTTTGTTGCTCCTCTGGACTCTCTCCAATTTGTCCACATCTTTCCTAAAATGGGGTGCCCAGAATTGGACACAAATGAAGCCTCATCAAGGTCAAGTGGAGCAGGACAATCACCTCCCGTGTCCTACACCCGACACTCCAGTTAACACACCCCAGAATGAGAACAGCCTTTTTCACAGCTGCACCACATTGTTGACTCATATTCAATGTGTGATCCACTAGGACCCCCAGATCCCTTTCAGCAGTGCTATTGCCTCACCGTTTATTCCCCGTTTTGTGGGTGGGCATTTGATTTTTCCTTCCAAAGTGAAGTACTTTGCACTTGTCTTTGCTGGATTTCCTCCTGTTGAATTCAGAGCAATTCTCCTATTTCTCAAGGTCATTTTTGAATTCTAAGCCTGTCCTCCAAAGTGCTTGCAACCCCTCCCAGCTTGAGGTCATCTGCAAGTTTTATCAGCATGCCCTCCACTCCATTACCCAAGGCATTCATGAAACTATTGCCTAGTGCCGGACCCAGAGCTGGCCCTGCGGGATGCCGCTAGAGATGCCCTCCCAGTTTGACAGCAAACCATTGAACACGACCCTCTGAGCACAGTTTTTCCAAGCAGTTGTGCACCCACCTTGGTTTGGCTTGATTTGTTCTTGACAAATCCATGCTGGCTGTTCCTTAGAACCTTACTGTTCTCCAGGGGCTTGCAGATTGAACCTACTGCTTCCAGGAGAGCAACATGGCGCTGGGTATTGGGCGGGGACGCAGGGTGTGGCGGCTGTTAGCTGCTAACCCTGAGTAGTTGGTGCCAATGACCCACCGCAGCTGGGGCAGGGGTCCGTCTGCCGGTCCCCAGGAAAGCTGGAGAGCGGTAGACAGCAGCGAACGGTCACTGCTGCTCCTCCGGCCGTGCCTACAGCCACCTTCTCCCTTCACCTCCCTTTTGGCCTCCAGGATGCCTGGGGAGGGAGGGACGCTCTTTGGGCCCGTACCTTTCATCTCATCCTCGTACACCTTGACCCCCTGCAGGCAATGATTCTTGGGGAGCAGGGTGGTGCTGGATAGGACTTTGGTCTCGCCAGTTACTCTGTCCTTCTCCACTGTGATCTCCACTGAGTACATGGCTGGGATACAAACAGGACAGTGAGAGTTAAACCAGCCCCCGGCTCCCACCCCGCTACGAGGCTCCAGCACTCAGAAGCAGGCAGCTAGCGTGGGGGGGGGGAAAGGGGGCGCGTGATGGAGAGGAGGGGGTGCCAGTGGGCGAGCTCGGAGATGTTAGGTGGGGAGAGGCGGCAGTGTGCGTTCCAGCAGGGAGTGCGTGGCAGGCAGCCCCTACGTCCCGGGCACAGCCTTCCTAGCAGGATGTACATTACCTTCCAGCATCCTTAGCGCCTGGGCCATCCCAGTGCTGCCGTGAGCTCCCTTACCTCTGGGGCTGTTTGGTCTCCCCTCTTGGTAGCTGATGCGACATTGTGGACAGAGAACTGCTTCCATTGTCACCTCTCTGTCCAGAGAGCTGAGGGATGGGTCTAGCTCACCTCTCTCCACTGGCCAGCAGGATCAGGCCCCGCCAAGGACTCTGAGCAGGGATCTGACCCTCACTCCGGTTTTGTACATTTAGTAAAAACCCCAACTTTCAAATTCAGCTGTCGTAAGAACGGCAGGAAAGCACCTGCTCTCTGATCTCTCGGATGGAGGCAGGAGGCAGAAGAGAATCTAGGAGTTGTTTCCGTCAGTCCACTGAGCAGATATGAATCAAAGACGCGCAGGGCTCGGCTTCTCCAATGAACAGCGAGCCCCAGGAGCCCAACTGCCCTCTGTGGCATTGTTCTCCCCTGTGCAAAGTGGGTGCAAAACACTCCCCCAGCTGGAATTCCCCACTCCCGCGGCTGGGAGGGTGTCCCCCCCCCCTGCTTTGCGCAGGCGTCCGTGACAACGCAAGGCGCAAGGCGGTGGAGAATCAGGCCCTGGGACAGGTTCTCAGCTGGCGGAAAATGGCGTAGCGCCACTGGCATCTGTGCAGCGCTTCCTGGCTTTGGGCTCGTCTGCTCTCCTCTGGCACTTCGACTGCTGGATCCCCGTCGCTGAGAACGCCTCGTACCCAGCTCTCGCATGCTACACCTGAACTCTGAGGCCTGCTCTGTCCCCTTGTCTTGGTAGCTTCTCGATGGAGCTGTGGACTCTAACTTGGACTCTGAGGTTTGATCCATACTCACCGGGCTAAAGGAAATCATTTGCAACAGGAATGTAGCTTCCCTTTCATGCAACGTTGCTAAGCCCCGTTGTACTTAACCTGCAAACGCCAGAGCACCAGCAGAATGGCGGGATGGACCTACGGAGATCCGTGCTGCTAAGCGCTCCAAGCTTGCAAGCAGCCTTTAGATTAGCCAGCCGGCTTTCTCTAAGCAGCCAGGCTGCCGTGCTGCGTTGGGGGGTTAGACGAGCCATGCTATGAATCAACGTGTCCTTCCCTCCGAGCCAACAAGCCACAAGGAGCAGGAGGCAAAGAAAGAAAGAAATCAACCCAAGGGAACGTAAGGGGATTTCTATCCACAGGCAACCCAAACAAGTGCAGCTGCAGCGTGATTTCAAATAATAAGAGGGTAAAAGGGTAAGGCCAGAAACAGCATCTAAGATTATATAAATAACATTTCCGCCTGGGGCTTGGAAAGCAATCGAGCTGTATGGATCGCACTTGACATTAAGTGGGTTTACATGTATGTAACAAGCGTGTAGTTAACGAGTATCTCCACTTTGGAAGGCAGAGGTTCTGGGGCTGTGGCTTGGATTGTTCCTGGCATTAGCTCGACCTTACTGCGTGGTAGGACTCAAGGTGTAGCTCATTCACGCCACCGTTCGCCACGCCGCGCTGGCAAAACAGGGCTGGGGTTGGCCCGGTAGCTACACATGTGTGAAATGGCCCCAGTGGACGCAGTTCAGAAATAGCCGTGTCGTCTTTATGTCTGGTCGGTGTCGGGGATCGAAATTCACAGCAATGCTTCTGGAGCTACGGCACAGCTAGCCCACCGTGGAGTGGCCCGGCCTTTGCCCATCCCATGGGCAGGTGCCCGTCCACCTGCTTCTCGGAGATAAAAACTCACTCACGTTCTGAGTTCCATCTTCCCTGTGCCCTTGGGGGTAACTGCCAGATGGCAGAGACATACAACCGAAAACTTGAGCCAATCCTGCATAGAAGGAGCTGTGGGTAGGACTTCTAATAGTTATTAGAGTTGGGCTCAACGTCTGGATTCATAGCCAAATCTAGGACTGGGCAAATAACCGATTTTTCGGTTTGGTGGCTGAACTGAGTAATTGTTCCTAGATTCCTAGATTGCAAGGCCAGAAGGGAGCATTGTGATCGTGTCTGACCAGGCCAGAGAACTGCCCCCAACCAATTCCTAGAGCGGAGTGTTCAGAAAACCAGCCAAGCTTGATTTAACAATTGCTTCGCATTGAACCAAACTGAAAAATGTTCTGTTTTTCTTGATGCAAGAGAAAAACAAAAACATTTCATTTAAGATGGAACAAAACGTTTCGGATCGACCCAAAACAACGTTTTTTTTTGTTTGGCTTTTGGGAAATGTTTGTAATTTTCTTAAAAATACCTTTAGGTAAATTCTGAAAAGAAACGTCTCTCTGAAACAAAAAAACGGAAACATTTTGACATTTCCAATTTTGGGGGGGAGGAGCAAAACTATTCTCATTAAAAATGTCACCCAGCTCTATGGAGAGCCAGTGTTCCCAAAGGCTGAAGGGTTTCAGATTTGAGCCAGTCCCTAATTACTGTTAAACAGAACCTGGTGAGCAGCGTCATTTATTGTGACTTTAATACATGCATGCACTGCAAGAAGGAGGGCTGGGAAAGCCCCTTTCCTCGCTCATAGGGTGGTTGGCATTCTTTGCCCCTCCTTTTTTTTACATGGAAAAATGGCATTTTTTTTAAACTGAAATTTTTGCAAAAAAAAATTTTCTACATGGTCAAAAACTCTCTGTCTTGCACAAAATTCTCCGGGGGTGTTTTTAATTGGTATTTTTAAGCATGATCATTATTGACATTTTTCATTTACCCAAAACCTGGTTTTCAGTTAAAAAAAGAAAAGCCGCCAAGGCCAAGTATTTTTGGGAAACAAAATATTCTGTAACCGTTTTGAAAAGCACCAAAGATTTTGGTGGCAAATGGATCCCTTTCAAGCCCTGCAAAATGGAAACAGCTCCAACACTTTGAATTTTCGGTGTCTTCGTTTCCTGAGACAACCGTCTTCCCGAGGGGAAAACCACAGACCCACCTCCACTAGAGACCAGAACAAGACTACCGGCTCAGATCCTCATAGGTCTTGTGACACCAAACTCCCATTGATTTCAATGGAAGTTCGGCACCTGCGCACCTTCGAGGGTCTGGGCCATAGAATTTACTCACGCTGTTCCGTTCGGTTCAGTCGGACCCACTTGTGGAGCTCACCTTTGCTACGTGACGACACAGTGTGGAAAAGTGTGGGGTCTGCTTTATGAGAGTGGTACAGGGGGAGCTGGCCCTTTAAAAGGCCGAGGCACAGCCTGGCCTCTGCCAGGTGTAACCCACCGTCCCAGGGGACAGGAATGGGGACAGGGGATCAGGTGATGGGAGCAAGAGACGTAGAACTAGGCCTACCGGAAGAGCTAAGTGGCAGCCTGAGTATAGTGTGTGTGGTGGGGGGGGGGAGTCCAGGGAGAGGCCCAAAGGAACTGGAGGGCCAGATGAGCTGCTGGACAGAGGGCCTGGGGAGGGAGCTGGCTGGGACAAGGGCAAGTGACAGCTCTCCAGAGCTCCCAGGCAGGAGGCCTCAAAGAGATCCCTGCGGGAAGCAGGAGCCTGCTGCATAAGGGGCCCCAGCAAGGCGAAGCCCTCATAAAGGACTGTGGGCCTGGAGGGAGGGGAAACTGAGGCAGGGACCGGCCCCGGTGAAGCCTTGCTACAATGGGTTTTGAGCAGCACAGTCCTTAGCGATTGAAATGCCCCATTAGGGCCACAATCCTGCACGGTGCTGAGCAGGGGCATCATGTGCTATTGGGCAAGGGGAGGGGGGGAGTTTGCAAGACCTTGGTTTGCCCCTCCTCCAACCTTTCCTAAGCCTATAGGCTCTATTCTGTCTTCCACTCCCCCTCTCAGACTGACAATCACAGATAATGGTCTCTGTGCCGGTGCAGTTTTGCCCCCTGGCCCCCCTGAATTTTTCTGAAATGACACCCCTGGGGCAGAGTCCCCCCAGCCTCTGTTGACTCCAAAGGGAGCCAGCGCGTCCTGGGCCGGGGCCCATGATCACCTAGTTTATAGCCACGCCAGGGCAGAGGCCAAAGGTGCGATGCGCAGGGGGTGTGTATGTGTCCCCACAGGCCGGTCCCTGCAGGATTGGCTACAAGAGGCTGGATTGGCAGCTACACTAGATCTCGGATAAAACTCAAGAAGCCACAACACGAGGGACTGAATCAAATAAAGATTCAGCCAGCCAACTGGCTTTGATTGGGGTGGGGGGGGCGTGCATGGAAGGTGACTCTCCCTGGTAACTCGAGTGCCGTACCAGATACAGAGCCAGGAAATGGGCTAAGAGGGAAACTCTTCCAGTGTGTCCTTAACGTACGGGGCCGTGCGCCCAGCACTGCATCGGGCGACCCCGTGTCTCACGTGAGAAGTGCGTGACTCACGTTTCCTTGGATGCGCCAGACACTGGGTACCCAGCACTGCTCCAAGTGCTGACTGCCTGGTACAAGGCGGATTTCAGCCTGCCCCTAATAGGATCTGGCTGGCATCAGGGGCCTTCGCATGCCCTTCCCCCGGGGAACGGTTCCACGTGCAGAGCGTACGACTTGTATCGATGGACCATCAAATTAATGGCTGTCTGCAATTCTAAGCCCGGGTAATGGACACCAATAACCTCAACCTACCTGGCTGAACACCCCGACCCTACCCTGCACATTCCTAACCCTAACCCTATCCCTGACCCCCGTGCCATACACCCCTGTCCCCAACTCCCGCTGATAGACACCTGCAACCCTGCTCTGAGCACTGTGGCTTTGCTGCGATTTTCTCTTCCGAGACAGCACGACCCTGGTGTAGCCCCACGGCATCCTGCCCCCATCCAGCGCTAAGTACCATGGGGCAGTAGGACTCCAGCGTCCTCCCCGGGACGAGAGGCAACGTACGTACCTGCCTTCATCATGTCAGTGCCCTCCACCGACTTCATGGGGCTGTTGGAGATCTTCTGCTCCGCTTTGGGAAAGAAGAGGAAAAACAATGACTTCTCTATCCAGGTGACCTGTTGTAACAGGGGACATGCCCTGTTCCCACCATGCCCTGCTCCTAACCACGCCCCGTGCCCTGCTCCATGACGTCCACCACAACAGGGGACAGGCCAGGTGATTAACACGGGCTTGCAACAGCAACAAGCATCCAGCTCGCCTCTTCGACCCCGCGCCCTGGGGAGCTGGGGGGAGGCACTTCCCACCACCGGGGAGGCTGTTGCCCTCTGCAAATGGGCTTTCGTGCCTTAGGTCAGCTCCTAGTTCACCCTGCAGAAAGCAGGTGCAGTCCGAGACGGCTGATAGCTGTTGCCCCTGGGTTTAATGGAGAGAGGAGAAGGGGGGGTTGGTAAGGTGGGTGACTGACTTTGGCAACCCACCCCGAGCCGTAGGGCTGGGGGCATTTCCAGGGCTGGGTGGCACTCAAGCAAAGGGGAATCTACTGACTGAAGGAGCCGTTCCCGCTCCTGGGGATCCACTCCCTGCAGAGCGAGGCGACTGGGAGCTCAGCACCGATTGGCATCCAGCGGCCAAGCCTGCCCGAGTGCTGCCCAGCCGTGCGGCGGGACCAAGGACTGCAAGGCCAGGGCACCACATTCTGCTTCTCCTGCATAGGAGGCCGCCACTCAGAGCAGGAGCGCCGGGGAGCTCGCTCCTAGGTGAGGGGAGTGTGGGTGAGACAGGAGAGGACCCACCTTTAGTTGTGCCCAGCGGAGTCTGCAAAACAGAACGGCGAGGTTACAAGTAGCACTGCTAACTCCCAGCACTCCTCTGGCACCCGAGTCCTCCACCCAGCCGAGCACGCATTAGCTAATCCAACCACCAGAACAGCAGACGGCTCCCCTGCTCCACTAGTTACTGCTGCCAGCTAGCAGCATTCAGACCCAGCGGGTACGTCTCATTCTAAGCATGTGGCTTGAGACTCGTTAGCTCAAATCACAGTACTTGGGGGCCGGGCAACCAGAGATAACGGCGCGCCCCGAATTGGTGCACTTTGAAAGGGGAATACGGTGCGGAACTGGCCACTGTCTATGTGCACGGATGGGATCAGGGCCGTTCAGCTGCTGTGTCATAGACCCTTTAGGGCTAACAGCAGCGAGTCCCCTTTGGACTGAGTCTTGTCCTTCACCCGGGGTCGAGCTCCCCAGCCAGGCGGTGAAGGAATGCAAATGGATTTGCAGAACTCAGTCAGGTGGATTATAGCTTCTTTCCAGCATTCTCTGTCTTCATCAGCACAATTATTTCCACCCAGTGACAAACACCAGCCAATCATCGCCTTTTAATTCCCCACGAGGCCTGACATCCCCATCAACCGGGCTGGGCGTGCGGAGGGCTCGGAGTGTCCACTCTGATCCAGCAGGGGGCGTGGCTGAGCACAGCCGCTGACGGCAGCTGCCCCGGCAAACAACCGTCTGCTTCCACGCCAGACTGGGCCATGCGGCTGATTAACCACACAAACAGGCCGCTGGCCAGCAGGCCTTGTCCTTGCTGAGCCCTGCAATGGCATGGCGGGGGTGCACCAGGCAGAGCTGTGGGGCTGGGGTGGGGATTTTCTCGAGGGGTGGATGTGGGCTGGCGGCAAAGCTCTGCTCTGGGCAAGACGGGGGCGTTATTTAGGGTTACCATACGTCCGGATTTCCCCGGACATGTCCGGCTCTTTGGTACTCTAATCCCCATCCGGGGGGAATTTTCAAAAAGCCGAACATGTCCGGGAAAATAGGGAGGCATAAGCCAGGGTCCGCCCGGCCCCAGCACGACCCGCCGGGTCCACAGCGCAGCCCAGCCGCCCCGGCTACATTGTAGCGAGCTCGGGCGGTGGGAGAGGGGGGATGCAGCCGCAGAAGGTGGCGGAGGGGCCGCTGCTGCCCCCGCAGGCCGGGCAGACCGTGCGTCTCAGTCAAGCCCACAGGACCATGGGGAGGCCGGGCCCAATCAGTGGCTCGGGCTTCCCTCGCGGGCGGGGACCCCTCGGCCACTGGGGGACCCTTCCTGCGGCCCCGTCGCCCCGCGCGGCTTGGAACCCGGAGCCGCGGGAGCTGTTTCCAGCGGGGACAGACAGGCCGGGGAACGTGCGTGGCGGCGGCAGGAAGGAGGCTGTAGTGCGGGGCGGGGAGTGCGGCGTGTGCCGGGGCTGCAGGGACCCGCGCCACCCCGGTCGCCGCTGAGTGTCTGAAGCCCCCGCCAGGCAGAGGCTGCCGGGGGAGCGGGGCAGGCGGGGGGCACAGAGGCTGCAGGGCGAGGAGGAGTAGGGCAGGCGGGGCCATGGAGGCTGCAGGGGCAGGACAGGCTGGGGGTGCAGAGGCTGCAGGGGTGGGGGGGTGCAGGGGCTGCAGGGTGAATGGGGAGCAGGGGTCACAGAGGCTGCAGGGGCGGGAGGGGTGCAGGGGCTGCAGGGGGAGGAGGGGTCACAGAGGCTGCAGGGCGAGTGGGGAGCAGGGGGCACAGAGGCTGCGAGGGCGAGTGGGGAGC